AGGAAATACAAGGAGAACGCTCCTTAGAAGCATGGATGGTGGAGCTGCATTTCATGTACTTTGGGCATGTTAACAAGAGAGATCAGTTCCTGGAGAAAAACAGCCTGCTCAGTTAAATAGGTGAGAGAAAAAGAGGAAGACTGTCAAGAAGATGGGTGGATACCGTGCCTCCTGCAATAGCCTCAAACATAGGGCACAGGCAGTTTACTTAGCAGCTTTTCTAGCCCAAGTCTCTGTAACTCCCACAAAATGACTTTTTTTCTGCATGTATCTGTGTAAGAAAGTGGAGGAAGACTGATAGAATTTACCTGTGAGTAATTGTTAATAAAAGTCACTTATTGCCATTCAGCTGGGTATAAGATGAGTTTTGAGAAGCAGGAGGTGGGATCTTACCTATTAATTTCCACAATAAACTTTATAATCTAGAGCATTGTCTGTGAGTTCTGTGTGGCACAGCAATGAATTAAAGAACCTATAGGAAAGGTAGAGAGTGCTTATGTGACAGAACACACATAGCACATAGCAATAATCATAAGGATGGCACAGGACCAGGCAGCATTTCCTATTTTTGGACATAGGATTTTTGTGAGTCTCACCCAATTTGATGGTGCCTAACAGCATCAACAACAAAGAGGTTAAAATCCCTTATCAAATATATTGGCATGAAAAGGAAGGAGCAAAGAATTAAAGAAAATATTTCTAAAGTTCTTGGGCTTGTGCCAGATTTAAATTTCTTCTGATTTGATTTTCTTTAGGCTCTGAGCATGTCAGCTTATGTTCACATACATAGTAACTTTTGGTCAGTTATGAGACCCATGGAGCGAGACAAATGAACAAATGAAGTTAAACATAACTGTTGCAAGCTACGGGGTGACTATATTTTCCCTTGCAACATATGCCCTCACTTACAATTACAATTGCAATAATTTGAAAGTTATCATCACCATAGTTTTAGGGAAAGTTACCAAATTTGTACTAATAACTCCCAGAGCAAGATGACTTCACTTCACTTCACAAAGGAAATTCTTTAATTGGTTACTGTAATGGGATTGGCTATCTGCGATTTGCGGGCATGTGTTATGTTATTTAAGCAGCTGTTTAGTCAGCTTTGGTGATTCACTTTTAAAGAATCCAATGGATTTTGGAGGCTTGTCTTCCTCAAGATTTTATGACTCCCCTGGGATATCTATCACAATTGGTATGTGCAATTTAATCAAATTAAGCAAAATATTAAACTTAGCTATTACAGTTCAAAGAGTTTAAACTATCCTGAACTACTGGAGTTAAGTTTTGAATTATTAAGAAGGAGAATTTAAAGTTAATATGTGAATTTCAAAAATGTAAAATAAAATGTAAAACTGTGCCTTCCAACATTGATGATTGAATAGGCGATGGCGGTAAATGTGAGCATGAGGTAAACCTCGCGGTGGGCTGTTGTGACACTGACTTTACTGATAAAATAAGCTTCGTGTACTGTAACCCAAGACTATGATAATGCATCCATTATAGCTTGGCTGTAAGAAGTAATGAGATAATGCATCATTTGTTAAGCTCACTGTTTTGCATAGAGTTGGTTCAACATTAGATGAGGGATATTATGAGTGACAGAAACCTTTTCCTTCTAGCATCTCACAAGCAGAGTGTGTTGTGATTTGATATTTGATGATCTTTCTCATTGTGGAAGTTCCTTCCATTCTATTCTTTTGTACTCTCTTGCATCAGATTAAATATGTATTAATGTAATGTTTAGACACGTAGGAATAAAAGGCAACTCTATCAAGTCCTTTACATCCAACACCTTTTATTCAATCTCATTATCTACACAGAGGCTATCATCCAATTTCCTAACATAAAGGTTATTTTCATTACCAAAATACTCTCTCTTTTGTGTCTGTGATTGCTTCCTCTGTCTCACTGATCATCATTAACACTAAAATGTTGAAATCATTTTGTGAAACATGAACTAAGAAACTTAAAAATTTGACCCAAAAGATAAAATGTTATAGTTTGCCTTGCTTCTCTTTGTATGAACCTCTTGACTAAGCTAAACCAATTTCTAATTCCAGAAAGTACTACACACAAATTTCTCATTTCTTCTTTAAATGGAAGACTAATTTTGTGTTTGTTAATTTTGTATTCACTCTACCTTAGACAAAGACCTGTGGAAGCTTTCTATAGTCAGTGATGAAGGAAAGATTAGCCTTAGGATCATCTCTTGTCTAAGTCAGGGTATTATTTACCTTGAAACCTAAAGTAGATTTCATAATAAAACAATAACAAATCCCTCTTTTCATTCACAATAAAAAGTATTGAGAGCATATTATAACTCTGGTTTAATCTTCTCTTTCTTTTACAGGTTAAAGAACTCTGAAGATTGAAACAGAAGGTGAAATAGAGAACAGTATCTCTTCAGTCACTTTTCTTTTCTCAGATTCTCACCTATTTTAACAAGTTAAAAGTTTATTGTAGAAAAATGCTTTTATTTTAACATTATTTCAGGAATATTATTCTCATAGACTTTGATCCTGTTTGGAAGCAGGTATTGTTCCATTCAGATTAACTTAGCTAAAACTTGTTTGTTTTCAATTTTAAGAACATGATAAGACAGCTAATGCCACTTCTAGTTTTCATGGCTCTTTCAAATATACACTTTCATAGACCAGGAATCAAAAGTTCAGAGAATTGTGGTGAATTGTATGAAGACATGAAGCCTATATATACTTTGTGCATTATAAAAACCCCATGCCTTCAGAGCAGCTGGCATATAATTATGGGTGTGCAATAAGTTGAATGGATGAATAACTGAACAATATTTAATAAAGGTAAGCAAAGAAAGCCAGGAATTATTAAACCCAGGTCTCTTGTGTTTAGATACTAGATTTTTATGGAATTTTTCATCCATTTCCTTCTCCTGAAGACTGGCTAATACTACAGTTGTGACTACAGATTACAATTGGTCCTTAATAAGGGAAAAATGTATTTACAATGGACTTAGAGAAATTCAGGCTATATGTATAAAACTACACTAAGCTGAATCAATTAAAGTAAATACCAAGTAAAATGATTTTAGGTAAGAAAAGTTTTGGTTTGATATATTTACCACTTTTCAAACTCTTTCCAGACCTTGTATAGATATACCTATAGTATAGGAGACAATTACAAGGTACAGGAATCTATGAGGTATTGCCATGAAACCAAAGACCAATTTTTACGTTCTCATTGATGAGAACATAACCTTAATAAGTTATGCTGAATAGCTATCAGAGTTCACTGTCACTGAGTGTCAAGACAGACTTACAGTGTTTCTTTTCTTCTGGCTTATGGGATCTGATCATGAGCTTCATTCCAAAGGGTCCTGGGAACCATAGATCATTCTGCCTTTATTTTGGATAATTAAAAGTTATATCATGTATTTAGATGGAAATACTGATTTGTAAAGAAGTTTTATATCCATATTCCATGATGGAAAATACAAAGGCAAGTTGTTTGTCCTAGTTTTCAAGACTGAATTTGATTTCCTAAAGTTGTAAACATATTTAAAGCCATGAGTCAGAATGGTTCAAAGTATGCCAATTCAAGTGCATAATAAAGCTTAAAGCTAGTCTCCATTCATTTTATCTCTAATATACCTGTCAAAATTATGTTAATGTTTCTGAAATAAAGGTTTCCTTTGAATAGGTTATGGCACTTGGCAGCTGGTCTTTTGTATGGAATGGATTTCCTCAGGCCTTCCGCGACATTCTCTTCCTGTCTTTGCTGAAATGGAACTTGCCTAAAGAGGCAGTCTCTGCCTCATCCCCTGCCCCAAGTCTAGTCTCCATTCCATTGTTCTGCATTATTTTCTCCGTAGCATTTATCACTAACCGACACATACAGATAGTATTGTTCTTTAATCTACCATCTCCCTATTCTTTGGAATGTAAGCCACGTGAGGGTGGGGAAATTTTTACATACCATATATACTCGTTTATAAATCACGTTTTTCAGAACATTTTTAATGCAGTTTTTTGTGGTAAAATTAGGTGCCTCGGCCGACATTCAGGCCAGCTTATGGTCAAGTATATAGGTACTTAATAATTGCTGTGTCTCTAGAGTCTATTGTGTGTTGGGTGCACAGCAGCACTCATGCTTATTTTCTGAGTGGATGAAAGTACTTCAAATATGGCGTTCAATAGGCTTTGGAAAATGAATCTGTTATTGTAATATTAATGATCCTAGAAAAAGATTACAAAAAGGGACCGGCAAAGATTAGTTCAAATATAAATTTAATTATAAATTTCTGATTTGAATTGAAATTTCATATTTTCCCTTCAATTACATGTACTTAGCTCACATAATGCTAAATTCAATGGCTATAAACAGGAAGTCAACTTGAGAAAGGTGGAAAGTAAAATTGTGACACTAAACGAATCATTTTTTTATGAAAAAAAAAAGTCGCCAAGGTACACACTACACACACACACCAAGGGGTTATCCCAAAAAACGGATTTTCCCCCAAAGTTATGTATTTAATCTTTTTTACAATACAACCTTAGAACCTTCAAAATACTCTCCATTACCCTTAATACATTTGTCAAATATGCAATTCCACTCAGAAACATTTTTCAAACTCATCTGTTTGGATGACTGACAGCACCTCTCTCGTTTTTTCCTTCACCTCTTCTATATCATCAAATTGCTGTCCTTTCATCTTGCTCTTATTTGGGGAAACAAAATGAAGTTGCACGGAGTGAGGTCAGGTGAGTATGATGCTCAGGACAAGAGAGGCATGCTGGCTTTTTGCCAAAACCTGGCACACTGAGATGGTTGCATGAGCAGTTGAAATGTCTTGGTGGCAAAACCAGTTCCCTGTGTGCTACAAATCTGACATTTTTTGTTGTTGAATGCCATTACACCATCTTTTCAGAACCTCTAAATAGGAAGCTTGATTAACAGTCTGAAATAGTGGAATGAACACCAAATGCACTATGTGTTGACATGTTCGACTGTTTGGTAAGTTGATGGACATCCAGAATGAGGTTTGTCATCAATTCACATTTCACCTCTTTGGAAATGAGAAAACCCCTCATACATTTGAGTTTTCCCCGTAGTGCTGTCATTGTAAACTGTGTTAAACATCGCAAAAGTTTCTTGGCTATTTTTCCTAAGCAAGAAACAAAATTTCACAGCCACACAGTGTTCTCATAAATCAGCCATCACAAAAAATGATGTTTGAGCGAAACTGTTTTTATGAAAAAATCCACTGTGACCAGAGAGAACCTTCCCAGGTGATAGCACAGGGTGCACTAACCCATAGCTAGTTGTTCTATGCGTGCCTAGTAGGAAAAATTCATACTTCAAAAGCTCATCTCCACTCAGCACAATTCCAGGGTTTTGGACTGACTTATTGCTGTAAAATTTAAATTGTTTTAGTATATAAGACAGTAAATACAATCCTTGAGCCAGGATTGCTTAATTTGTTAGTAATTAATTTCTCTCTATTCTTATTATTGCAGATATCTTACATACATTGCTCCTTTAATACAATTTATCTGAGTAATTGGGCTGATTTTCACATCTTCATATTAAATTTCTTATCCAAAATAAAGGGCATTAGAATATTTTACTACTATATCTGAATGTGTAAGTATATATTATGTCTTCTAAAGTGCCAGGGAGTCTTGTATGTTATGCATAAATACATTAGAATACAGCGGCAAATACGGCTTTTTCTCAATGTTCCTTTTATCATTATTGACTTATTGTTAATTGGATACATTTATAATCTTTCTATCTACCTATCATATATCTATTTATATTTCTATTCTATCATCTCTTTTATATCACCCAAATCAAGAATTTCACATAATTATTTACATAAGCACAAATAAGAGCATTTATTTTCTAAATATAACATGAATAATCACTGTTATAGTCTCACCAAATTTCTATAGTTACTGGAAATAAAACATTTATGTCATTTGCATAAAATATTAAATATTATCTATTTCAACTACTTTTTCTCCCTCTCCAGATAACTTCAGCATCTCAGATTCAGTTAATGGATGGAGCAATAAGACAGTGGTTACAGAATTTATCTTGTTGGGCTTATCTAGCTCTCGAGAACTCCAACTCTTCCTTTTCTTTATGTTCTCTGTGTTTTATGGAGCTGCTGTTTTGGGAAACACCCTTATCATCCTCACAGTAATTGTAGACTCTCATTTGCATTCCCCAATGTACTTTCTCCTTAGCAATCTCTCCTTCATTGATGTTTGTCAGGCTACGTTTGCTACTCCCAAGATGATCGCAGACTTCCTCAATGAACACAAGACCATCACTTTCCAGGGGTGCATGTCACAGATATTTTTCTTACATGTCTTTGGGGGTAGTGAGATGGTGCTTCTTGTTGCCATGGCCTATGATCGATACATTGCTATATGCAAACCTCTACATTACATGACCATCATGAACCAAAGAGTGTGCACTGTTCTGGTGGTCATGTCCTGGACCATTGGTATCCTCCACTCAGCTAGCCACTTGGCATTCACAGTTGATCTGCCCTTCTGTGGACCCAACAAGGTAGACAATTTCTTTTGTGACCTTCCCCTTGTCATAAAGCTTGCCTGCTTAGATACCTATGTTTTGGAGATCCTGGTGCTCACCAATAGTGGCTTACTCTCACTTATATGTTTCCTTCTTTTGCTTGTTTCTTACACTATCATTCTTGCCACTGTCCATCGCCAAGCTTCTGGTGGGACATCCAAAGCTCTCTCAACTCTCTCTGCTCACATCACGGTTGTGGTTCTGTTCTTTGGCCCATTAATTTTCATCTATATTTGGCCCTTTGAGAGCTTCCCAATCGATAAGTTTATATCTGTGTTTTTCACTGTCTTTACACCTTTCCTTAATCCTGTAATTTACACGCTGAGGAACAAAGACGTGAAGGAAGCCATGAAGAAGCTAAGACAGAGACATGTGGGTTCCACGCAGGTCTTGTAGATAACTATGAGGGAGAGGTGCACATTCTTACTTCTTGGCCTTTGTTGTGACTGTGTGCAATTATTATGTTTATTCACAATTATTCTTTCACTACTAGAGATCTTATGTTCTTTGGCTCATTTTATTTCCCTAAAATATATCTATTCTGTATAGTAAAACCACTAAGTAATCTTTTCAACCCTTATATAAGACTTACATTTTTTAAATCCCTTGTAACATTTTAAAGTATTAAACATGATTTCTTAACTTTTTTGGTTCTATTATAGTGTAGGGATCAACTTAGCAAGATTTGTTGCAAACAATCTGTTTTGGCATAGCTGGTTGTTTGAACACTTTAAAAGATGTTCCTCTGTTTTTAATCTCTTGTAAGTTATAATTATTCTAGCTAAGATTTGGGTCCTGTAAATGGCTGCAAAATTCTGTACTCACAAATAAGGCACTGATGTTTGAAAATAAATCAGCCTATTACATTTATTCCTTGTGCTAAGTTATAAAGATGTAAAATACTGTAGAAGCAATTATATGACTGAGTTTTGCTGCCCTGGCTTTGAAACAAGTAATGTTACTGAGGAGTTGATTCAGATTCATGGGGAATCCCATGTATACAGAGTAGAACTACAACACAGGTTTTCCTGGCTCTAATTTTTAAGGAAGCAGTAAAGCTGAGTGTGTTTGAGCCACTAGCTTTTAGATTTGTAGACAAGTGTAAACTCTTAGTGACACCTACGGACCTCTGAAACAAATAATTGACACACCAAAAATATAATTATCTGGAGTTAGAATTATTACAGTATTTTTGCATCCTCAGGAAGATATATAATAACACTTCTACATACAGTATCTTTATAACACTTTTAATAGATATTCCAGTAGCTGATAATCACTGCAGGACATCTGTATAGTCAGTTATTTTGCTTAATTTCATTTGGAAGGGCAAACTTTAAAGTAGTTGTAGAGAGCTAATTCATCAGGAATTAGAAAATATTTCCAATACTTCTTTTTTTTCACAACTTTAAGTGAAACTTGAGAAGCGTGTCACCATCCTATCATGAAAAGGCTACAAAGAGGGTGCATACACATGAGTAAGTCTCTTTTCAGCCACAAAATCTGTTCCTTTCAATCACCGATTATTCAATTAATTCTAGGAGGAATTGATTCTGTTTGTACTGGCCTTCAATTCCAACCTACTCTGTACTGATGATAAGATTGCATTTTATTTATTTATTTTTATTTAGAGTTAATTATAATTCTTAAAAACAAATGTTATTCACTCTTCTGCTATACTTGTCAAAATACTAAAAGTTTACCATGAAAGCATATGTGCTAAGGGAGGTATCATACACAAAGCATTAGTCTTCAGGTAAGTCATATTATTACTTCATACAAGTGAGGTGATTCAGGAATGACTGGAATAGGAAGCCAGTGGAAACAACATTGCCCACTTTCAAGTCTCTGAGTTTCATGTAGACATTGCTCTCTGTGGAAACTGAATTTTATCATCTCATTTTATTTTGTTGTCCAAGTGTGCAGTTTTAAAATTTGATGTTACTTTAATAAATACTTTGATTAAACATGGCTATCTGAATATAATTCTATTGAATAATGAGGAGTTTTATTTTTATTTACTTTTGTTTTTAATTAGATAGTAAATCTAATAGGAAGCACAGTTGTTTGTTTGTTTTAAATATTTTTATTGGGGGATCTTACATCTCTTATCACAATCCATACATTCCTCCAATGTGTCAAGCATATTTGCCCATATGCCACCATCATCATTTTCAAAGCATTCTCTTCCCACTTGAGCCCTGATATCAGCACCCCATTTCTTCCCCCTCCCTGCCCTGCCCACCTTCCCTCACGAACACTTGATAAGTTATACTTTATTTTTTCCATATCTTACATAGTCCTCTCACACCCCTCACCCACTTTTCCATTATTTGTCCCTCTGGGAAAGGGTTATAGATTGATCCTTGTGATCAATTCCCTCTTTCTCCCCCTCACCTTCCTGTAATCCTCCTGGTGTCTCTACTTTCCTTGTTGGCCCTGATGGGTTTATCTATCCTGGATTCCCAGTGCTGCGCACTCTCATCTGTAGCAGTGGGCATGCTCTGGTCTAATCAGACTTGTAAGGTAGCATTGAGGTTATGATAGTGGGGTGAAGGAAGCACCAAAAAACTAGAGGAAAGTTGTGTGTTTCATCGGTGCTACACTGCACCCTGACTGGCTCATCTCTTCCCTGTGACCCCTCTGTGAGGGGATGTCCAATTGTCTACAGATGGGCCTTGGGTCTCCACTCCATGCCCCACCTCATTCACATTGGGTATGGTTTTATTCTGGGTCTTAGATGCCTGATCCCTGATCCCATTGACACCTGATGATCACACAGGCTGGTGTGCTTCTTCCATGTGGGCTTTGTTGCTTCTTCTGTTCAGGAATATATTTTAACCCAATCTGATAGCAATAGACACATTCATCAATAATTAGAAATAGATACAAGTAAAGGGCATTAAAATTATAAAACACACATTGAATGAATAATCTCAGTGTATATTGCTCAGTCACATTAAATTAAAAGTAACAAAATGCATTTCAGCTAAGCTTTTAACTTACTTAATGTAAGACAAGTATTTTGGACATGCTTAAAAGTTTAAGGAAGATCCCTGGCTTGATGAAAACAATTGCATAATAAGGAATATGCATTCATAAGCAGACCAGAGAACCTGAATGGAAGGACTTTACTCTGTAGATAGGCAGGTGATAGAAACAGCTGCTGTCAAGTCAACTTGGACTGATGGTAGCCTTAAGTGCAACAGAAAAAAAAATGCTGGCTATGCCATCCTAAAAATTACCAATATAACCAAATTCATCATTTTTGTTATTGTGTCAATACATCTTACTAAGGGTCTACCAAGTCTTTGTTGCCCCTCCATTCACCAAACATGATATGCTCTCTTCAGTAATTTATCCTTTCTGGTATGTTCAAAGTAAATGCTTCTGTTGCAATCCATAAGAATTTCATTGGCTATTTCTCGGTATAAGGAGCCTTGATGGCACTTTGTATTAGGCATTTGGCTGCTAACCATAAAGTCAGTGACTCAAACCAAGTAGTAGTTACTCTCTAGGAGAAATATGAGACCATCTGCCTCAAAAACTGTAGAGTCATTATGAATTGGAGTTGATTTGATGGCCATGGGTTTTATTACTCTGCATAAGCAGTGCAAAATGGAATTGCCAGGAGCCCTCAGAGATAGACACTAGCTTAGGGAATTTGCCTTAATTCAAGTTTTGGTCCACAGAATCATAAATTCAGAAATCTAAAACTGATAATTTCAGAAACCTGAAAAAGAAAATTACCAAATTGCATTAAAAATATAGGATTCCAAGGCAGATGATCCCTTCAGGACCAGTGGTGTGAGTGGCGATACTGGGAGGGTAGAGGGAGGGTGGGTGGGAAAAGTGGAACCGATTACAAGGATCTACATGTGACCTCCTCCCTGGGGGACTGAAAACAGAAAAGTGGGTGAAGGGAGATGTCAGACAGGGCAAGATATGACAAAATAATAATTTATAAATTATCAAGGGTTCATGAGGGAGAGGAGAGTGGGGAGGGAGGGGAAAAATGAGGAGCTGATGCCAGGGGCTTAAGTGGAGAGGATATGTTTTGAGAATGATGAGGGCAATGAATGTACAAATGTGCTTTACACAATTGATGTATGTGTGGATTTTGATGTGTTGTATGAGCTCCTAATAAAACAACTAAAAATATATATATGTATGTATATATATATTTATATGTATATATAATGTATATATATTTATATGTATATATATATAATGTCAAATACAGCACAGTGATTGGAAAAGAAGCCAAATTAGTGGTGGTTCTGAGGTATCTGCATTAAAAGGAAAATATTTATTTAGGTGACTGGCATGTGTAAGTTCCTTAGGGGCTAATAACCTTGTAGGGAATTACTTATCTCAACAATGTTGGATGGTACTAATTGTTTTTTCACTTAGCGATTCATTCTTTATTTTAAATACATTTAGGCTTTATGCAGCCTTTCTTTAGATCTGATAGTATTCCTAATAAAGTTAAAATAAAATCTCATTGTCTTATGAATCATTCTAATTGTAACTTGTCATATGTCCTCTTATCAGTTATACCCATACATGCCTATAGACTTTAACTCTCAAATGATAGTCTTATTTTATTACTTCTATGGTGATATTACAACAATATGACACAGTTCTGGAAGTACTCATTTGTTTATGCACACAAATCTGAAAGACAGCTGGCCAAACACCAAGAAGAGATCTATAGTTTTATTCATTCCAAAGAAGAGTGACCCAACATAATGCAGGAATACTGAACAATCTCAATGTCAGATGCAAATAAAATTTTACTGAACAATATCAATGTCAGATGCAAATAAAATTTTGCTGAATATTAATTTTAAAATAGGGCATCAATACATCTACAAGGAGCTAATTCAACCTGGTCTCATAAGAGGATGTGGAACAACGGATATCAATCATTACTGGTGTCAGATGGACCACGAGAAAAAGCAGAGAATACCAGAAATATTTTCACTTTTGCTTTACCACGAAGCCTCGGTGGAGCAGTGTTCACCTGCTGGGCAGCAAACCACAAGGTCAGCAGTTAAAAACCACAAGCCGCTCTGGGAGAAAGAAAAGGCTTTCTATTCCTTCAAATAGTTAGTCTCAACAACCCACAGCAACAGTTCTATCTTGTTCTATGAGGTCCCTAGAGTCAGAATCAACTATAGGGAGTAAGTTTGATTTGGTTTGTTCATTTGCGTGGATCATAAGAAACTATGGGCAATACTTTCAAGAATGAGAATTCCAGAACACTTAATTGTGCTCCTGCCAAACCTGTGCATAAACTCAGAGGAAGTCTTTCACTCAGAACATGAGTATGTGCAATATTTTACAATCATAAAAAGATTGTGTCAGGATCCTATTTTCCCCCTACTTATTCA